TTTTAGGGTGCTTATATTCAAGTGTAAATGGGTTGAAGGTAATACAAATACGAGTGTGCGAACAAATGACCTAGGATTTATTTTGATTGATTTGAGCAAGGTCAGGTATAAGGATGAACTTTTATTACGACACATCAAGCAAGACAAATATTTTATGTCAAGGATCTATATAATGAGAGATGGTCAATTTTCCTTGAAGGAAGAAACATGCACAAAATTCATGAAGATGAGTCTCTAGATATACATGAGACACCTTCATTTTCAAGTAGAATCTTTGATGACCTTGCTGACAATGAAATGAATGACATACATGAAATTCGAAATGATCATGATGAAGGGTTATTAGAAATATATCAACATAATAGGTGTTTATCTTCATATTGTTGTCTTCTTTTCATTTTAATTTATTAAGTATGTTGATTTCGTATTGTTATGTTCGTTTTGTTGAAACTTATTAATCATATTATTTTGTTTTTCAAGATATTCTGGATTCCACATATGGTAGTGGTAGTAACAGGAGTGGAGGTGGAGGTAGATTTGTCACCCGGTTGAAGGGATTGACAACAGGTCGTGTTGCTAGAGAGAAAACTCAAGTTGACGTTGATTCACGTTTTGATAAGATGTATGGGCCAAATGTTGCTAAGTTTAGGAGTTATTTGGGACTCTTAGCTCGACACCATGTTTCGATTATTATTCCATCTTGAAATGATATAGAGGAGACCGAGAAGAACCTTATGTTGTAGGATATTAAGGCATTTCAATGTTTGTTGAATACTTTATAATCAATAATTGAATTTAACATTTATTGGTAATTTGACAGCAAAATTTTGAAATTCCTAACAATGAGGTGATGAGGAAAAAGATTTTATCCTCCATTGTCGCTAGATGGAGGGACTTTAAGACTTTCTTAACACGGAAGTATATATTTAAAAAATATCAAGATGAATCTCTTGTCTAAAGTATTAGATTAGTGAGGAGGAGTGGTTGTAATTTCGAGCCAGTCAATTGGATTAATTCTTAGTAATTCTTACCTCAATAACACATAATGTACTACTATAATTTTCTTATTTATATTATCGAATAAAATAATAGTTGCCCAGGAATGTCAAAGGTTGAATGATGCATCTCATCTATTATCGCGAGGAGGGTATGTGACTTACTTATTATTAAAGCGTTGCAAGATGATTTAGTTGAGCAGGTCACCCAAGGATAATTTATTCTTCATAGTTGAGAAGACATATTGACGATGGTCATAGGAAGATCAAAGCATCCAGGAAGTGTGCGTGGTACTGGTGGATCCTAGAGCCTTCGTCATTACTTTGGTCCACAATCACGAAGGACCACTATCGACTCTTGCAGTCAGGAAACCTTGCATAAAATGGAGATGTAATTTGAAGAAAAACTAAATTAGATATGACAGTTCTTGCAGTAAGAATTTAATAAGAAACTTGAATCTCTTATCTACTATCAACAAAATACTCAAGGAATACCTCACACATTTCAATATGATATTGTTCGAGTCAGCACTAAAGAGAGTTGTGTTGCTATTACTGCAGATCCCTCTAAGGAATATACCCATACTGATGCACCACACCAATGTGAGTTATATGTTGAAGATGACCCACAATGTATAGTGGTTGTTGGTCGAGTTTTTTAGTGTGACTTAACCATCTATGGTGTCCCTCTATAGGCAGACTGGACGCAAGTAGTAATTGATGAAGTTAATGATGTTGATGCTCTAGTGTCATTTCCTAATGAAGAGATTCAACTAGTGAGGCAGGCAAGCGACATATTTTTGGCTTGGCCAAGACGTTTGATGATATCACTCTCAGCACGAACTAAGGTAATGTATATATTGTGTATTTTCTCTTGATTTCTATTCTTATAATTATATGAATGTTTAATTAATTGTTATAATTTGTTTATGAGTGTATTCATCGTGGTAAGCATAAGATATAACCTGTTGTTGATAAGGACATCATCGAATTTGAGGATGATCTCATATCTATTTTGTTAAACATATTACCATGGTTGAGGAAGAGATCGTATCAAATATAGTGGGAGACCAGACCAAAGTGTTTAGAATTAATATACATTTTATTCCCTGACGTAATGGAAATTGTTGGGGTAAGTGCATGTTAAATATTTTCATCATACAATTGTGAGTCATGTAAATCATTTTCGTTTATGTTTCTAAAATTATAATAATTATATTTAACTTATAATTCATTGTGTTAGGTACATTGACAAATTGAGTGTGGAGTAAGAAAAATATGAAGTATATGAATTTATCAATCTATCCAAAAATTTGGAAATACAAAGGTTGGAATTTAGCAATATATGCAACAAGGATGAGTTACTTACAAAGACATATATATTTGACTCCATACATTGAAGGGTTAGTATTTTACTTTATATTTTTTTCATCATGTTAATTTTAGAACTATTTTTTATGTCATATACTATAGGTCCCATTGAAAATTAATTATAATCATACCCAAGTGATTACACTCGTAGTGTGATTTTGTTCATTACACTAAAAACAAAGTCAAGAAATAAAAAGTTTATTACAAGGGTAACTTTATCTTTTTTTCATTAATTATATTTTTAAAGTTTAAATATATATTGGATAATATCTAACTTTATTTCAATTAGAATCGTGATCCGGAACTTATGTTCTAAGTGAAAGACCCAGAACAAAGAATTTGCATTTCATTTATTTTATGGTTAGAAACTTATTTATTTAAATAAACACCATAATTATTGTTTATATTTATATTTTGAAAATAACAAAATGTTTTGTTTCTCAATTGAGTGTAATAAGTAAACAGACTTCTTTGAATGTGACTACTATATCATATATTGGATAAAAGTCATAGTTTGTGCATGTATAACTAATTCTTAGACGGAAATAATTGTTTTTATCATTTGTTAAGTTGATTTATCTTTATGCGTATTGCATGTTAATAGGAGTCAAATTAATGTTTCATGTATTTCAAGATCCATTTCCACTATTAGAACATGATATAGCAATGGACAAGGTTTATTTTTCAACATTTCTAATATTTAATTTGTAAGTTATTGTTTGTATTATATTATATTAGGTAATTTATAATTTAGGTAGCTTTGTTTTTGTAATAGATTAGATTTTATATTATGTTAATTTTGTAATGTTTATCTTTTAAGTAGTTTAATTTTTGTATTACTTTAACTTTTATAGTTTATATTATATTGTATTGTTGTATTTTTAAATTATTGTTTATCATTAAAAAATATTATGAGATTTTGGTTGTAAGACAAAATAAACTAAATATTAAAAAAAAATGAAATTTACGTCAAATGTGTTAATACCTGAAATAAATTTATTCAATTTTTTTTTAATCTTTGAAACCTTTTATGTTTATTTTGTATTTTTCGATAGATTGACTTTGATTATCTACATAATTGACATAAATTGATGTCAATAATTAGGTTTGATATAAATTTACATTTTCCGTTATAATGTTGGACTTATGTATGATATAAAAAGACCAAAATAATATATACAAAGTCCTCCATGAGCCTTGTTCTACAACTAATGAATATTTATTAAATTAAGTTATTAATTAATAACAAAATATGAAGTCATTAAAGAATTGTTTTTCCTGTCATTATCAAATAATTCATATTTAATATACTTAAAATAATAAATTTATTCAACAAATCTTAAATAATTTATTACTTTATATTATTTTTTCTAATTTTTTAACTTTTTATTCCTTCTATCCGTTTAACTTCCTAACTTTTACATACTTCTTTCATTCTTCTTTTGTCTTTTATTTTTTACATCACATTCTTCCTCTCCAAATCCTTCTCCCTTTTTTTCCATGTGTCTCCTATGCTTTCTTCTCATTTTTCAATAAAATAATATTTATTTATTTATAAATAATTGTTACTCAATAATTATATAAAATTTTAAACAACTTTTATTATCGTATCATCTTTCTTCTAAGAAAAAAAAAACCTTGAAGCAACTCTAAACAATCGTCCAAAGGCCTCCTCGAAGGGCTTCGATACAAATCCCAAATATTTGGTAACCACATCCTTCTCTCTTGTTACCACAAACAGCAAATATGCATACATAACATTCTTCTCTCCTATTCTGCATGAATGCAAACATGTCTAAAATTCTTCTGTTCAAAGATAAGGACAAGGACAAGGATAGGATAAGGATGGTGGGTCCATTCGGAGGAGAAAGAAGGTTCGTCAAGGAGGACGGCACGAGGACGGAGACAATCGAAGGGGATTCCTTCACTGAATTCCCCTTCTCAGAGTCTGGGCCTCAATAGAAAGACAGTGAGGAACAGTGACAGAGATCTTCTGTACTAATGCGGACCAGCAGCAGATTCAGTCTAGAGAGATTTCAGGGGCCAGAAATTAATTACTCTTCCATTATCAATTCATGTTAAGTTATAAGTTATAACCATTCCTGCTTGGTGGTGTGAATTTTATCCGTTCAATTCAATGTCATCTTTTTATCTTATTTTTCTTCAGTTCCTTTTTTTTTTTCTGTGTAATAGTGTCAATACTATTTTGGATCCCTCTGGATTCTATTGTGACCACAATATGTAACAATTTTTTAAATTGGTAAAAAGTGCACCCTTTTGATGAAAGTGATTTGTGCAAAATTTGGACGTAGTAGGAATAATATGAATTGATTTTGAATGCTGTCAAATTTGATTGATTTTATAAAAATATTAACTGAAGAAAATGGACAAGAAACAATAAATTTATTCTAATTTGATATCATGTTATATAAACATTCATATCCAAACACCGACTGAATAGCACAAAGAATGGCACACATATATATATTTATAGAACAAAGTTGTACACGACTACAAACGGATGAAAACCTCAAAAAGACAAAGAATACCAAGGTTAGATAACGAAGTCACGTTTCCAGAAGGAAACCTCATGTTGTACAAATTTTCATCTTTTCAGTACAAACACAGCCGAAGCTAATTTCCCAAAACATTATGTGGTTCGAAGTTCTCCTTGTTGGAGGTTTTGAAAACGGAATCCTTGTCACTTCTCTTGGCAGGAGAAAGCTCAAAAGTTTCATCAGATATCTTTTTTGTGGGAACTGGGGTTCCAATGTGCTGGGACAGTTCTCTTTGGTTGCCACAAAGTGTGAATATATTCTGAATTCTCAGTAGTCTAGAAGGCCCAAGATCCTTTTCATCCACTGAACTTACATTGAAACAGCAATCCTCTTTCATTGGACTTGTGTTCGACATGTTTATCGTTGCCAAGGAGCCACTTGGCTTGTCAACACTACATACCCTCGTTTCCTCTATCACTTCTTTCTCCACTTCCTCATCCCCTTTGTCTTCATCTCCTTCTCCTTCTCCTTCTTCCTCGTATACTGTACTAAGGCATACCCTTTGGCCAAAGTTGGGTGCAAAAATATGAGCATCATCTTTTCCACCATTCAAATTATTTGGGCAAGGTTGGTTTGAAAAGTCTTGCTTAACATTGTAATCATTATTACTCCTGCACATAAGTCCACCAATGATGTTCACTTCACGGCCAAGGGGTTCTTGATCGTCCATGTCTAAATCCATTGACTTCACCATTCCAGGATCCTCCTCACTTTTGTAAACGCGCAATAGCCTTCTCATAAACCCACTTGACTCCATGTCTTTTGACTCATTTTCCTCACTATTCCCCCCTTGCCTTGAGCTTGATAGCTGCAACTCAATTTCTTCCAATCTCCTTCTCAGAGTTTCAACTTCCTCCTGCTGCTGCAGTATCCTCTCTTCCATTCTCTTCCTCTCCAATTCAACAAACTCGTTAGTCATTCTTTGGCACTCCGCCAACTTCTTTTCCAGCTCTTGTCTTAGAAGCCGAGTTCGTTCATTTACCTTCAGGTTAATTTCCTCCTCACTTGGTGGAGTTCCTTTTCCTTCTGACAGGTTCAATTTAGTTCTTAATGCAGCAATTTCCTCTTCTTTCTTCGAAAGCTTTTTGTGCGCTTCGTTACGCTCTTTCTCTCTTTGCTTGTTTTCCATTTGTAGCTTCAAGATAAATTCATCCATTGCAGCAATTCTTGAGCCTAAAATGACAGCAGAAGAAGATTCATCATCCTTGACTGGAGTATGAGGGCCACGGACTATGCATTTTGCTTTTGCCCCATATTCAAGTGTAGAGATTGTCTTGTGTATCTCCTTAGGATCAGGACTTGCACACAGTATCATTAGAATTTTTGACTTATCATCTTCAAAGGAATCCTTTAAAAGGGAAAGTAGAAGAAATACTCGCATTATATTAATAAAACATCAAATAGCAGATCATGAAATCAACAATTCACTCAATTAGAAAATATTTACCTGCAGAAGCATAGTAAGCTTGCTGTCTCTAAATGGTACATGCGAATCGCCATTTGCAATTGACTCCACCACTCTCTTCAGCGCTATATTTCCTTGATTGATTTTTGCAGTCTAAAGTTTCATTGACAGTACAATAATCATCGGATAACTTACATGATTTTAAAAAAGAAAATCAAAATGGCAAAAAGGTTACCTGCATTTTGGCCTCAAATCCAGTTTGACCAGCTTGTTCAATATTTTCTGATCCTGCCATGTCTACAAGCATTAGACGCCCACCCACAGTTGGGACATCAAGGATTACCTGATGAGGATAAAAGATATGTAATCAATTTCCAATAAAAGAAGCTTAAACTATTTAATCAGAACGACCCATCAAAGCATCCATACCATGCAGTGACTTCTGGAACTTCTGTCATTACAAAGTGTGCTTTTAACAATCCTTCGCTTCTCCACTTTCTGAATTTCTTTTGAGATCTTCCCTGCTTCATTTCCAGATATATAGGTAGCATTCTTAGCCTTTTTACCCATCACTTCAAGTTTCACCTACAAGTATAAAAGGAAAGAAAGAAAGGACCCCGTCCATATGTCAATGACAACAATCATCAAAGAGCAATTGTTCTGCTGATACTTCAATACAAGCATCTGTACGTGACAGACAATTTTGTGTTGAAAAAAAAAAACTCGATATATGTTTCATTATGCTGATAATGGTCATGATCTAAGAGAAATATCACTGGTTTTTGCTCATTAACGAGTTTCAATCCGAAATTAAATTCCATTAGGCAAGGCCATCAGCTTACTCATGCTCTTCCAAAACAAGCATTAGAAGGGAACAATATAAAAAATGTTACAAAATTTTAGATAACATGCTTTTCCAGTCAAGATTGTTTTTTTTTTTTTTCGAAGAAAGAATACCAACTAGGGGAACTTCTCTCTCAAGTAAGAAATGTCTCATAAATCCTTCTTTAGAGAGTAGCACACACAGCCCAGCCACAAAAATTGAGAACAAAATGAGCAGTAAAATAAATATTTAGCCAGCCAATTTTGTAAAAGCTATGAAAATAAGTAACATGTAAATTTCATCAATATACAATGTAACCCAAATAACAATTCTAAAGACAAATCAAAGATGTCAGATAAATTCTGGAGCTCAAAACCTGCAGACACAAGAGCCAAATAAATCAGTGATGAAGTAACAATATATTACCTTTGAAGCACTACCACCCTTAGGCCAGCCAAACCCAAACCCTCCTCCCCCACCTCCTCCATTGGTGGACAACAGATCATAAATCTCCTCATTGTAAATCTCCAAAACAGTGACTTGAACAAAAGTCCCCAACCCGAGATGTTCTCCTCTTGAATCATCCCCAGAATCTCCATCTGCATTATCCCCATCTCCAAGAATGTCCCTCAGAGACCTATACACAATCCCTGCCTGCTTTGAGCACCCAAACATGGTGTGACTCTTCCCAGAACCAGTTGGTCCATACATCATGATGGTGCATTTGTCCCCAAGCTTAACCCCATTGATCCTTGACTCCACAAATTTCTTATAGAACACATCCAGGTCCTCTTCCTCAGACACAGAAACCCCGTCAAGGGTGAAGTCCCGGTACCCAAAATCAGCTCGAACCCGGATGGAACTCGAGTTGGAATTGGTTTGAAGAACAGATAAAGGCTTATCCTTTCGATCTGGGTAGTCACGGATTCTGGCAATGACTTCAATTGGGTGTTCAGGAGGGGGTTCCTTGTTTGCAACAGAATTGGGGTTGGGAGAAGGGTGTATTGCTGGTGCTGATTTGGGGCCATTGAAGTTGAGACGGTGCTTGGACTGTGGAGTCTTCGTCTGGTTGGGGTGGTTTTGTTTGAAAGAAGGGGTTGGAGGCATGGTGGAAAATTTGAACGTGAAAAATTAAAACCCAGAAAGATATGAGGAGAAATATTGAATCGTGTAACACGAACGAGAAAGAATACCGCAAGAAAAGGTAGAAAGTAGAAACGAAGAAAATATTTGGTAGAGAAGGAAGAAACAACAGAGGGTTTTGAAATTTCAAACAAAATGTAGCCGTTAAAGTTTCCAACGTCTATATGTGTTTCAAATATATTTTTCACAGGACAAAATGAAAATTACCTAAAATAAAAATTAGGACGTTTAGCGCAGGGACCTTCTTCGTAAATAAATAAATAAAATTTGAAAAATACCATAATTTTGCATTTACCATTTTATTGCAGATTTTTTTATAATTATAATTATTTCTTAATACGGCTAAATGCTATTGATATTGTGCTAAATATGGGTTTCGAATTTATGATTGCTCAATGTTACATTTTTTACTGCATCTCGTGCGAGTTTATGAACATGAGCAAAATTAGATTTTAAAAATAATTAATTATCTTATTGGTAATGAAAAATAAATACTAATTTATAAAACACATAGTTGTGATTTTTGTAAATATTAAAATTGAAATTAAATAAAAAAAATTACAGTTGACAAAATATTATTTGAATCATGATTTAAACATCATATTGACTCTTTTTTTTTAAAATGTCTTTTTAATTTTGAAACACGTATCTTACTAATTTTGTGAACCAAATCCATTTTTTCCCTTTTTGTTAGAGTGAAAACTTTTAGTATTTTAAGTAATTATTATTTCAATCAAAATTAAGATTTTGATTTCATAATTCAAATAATATTTTAATAATTTTTTTTAATATTTTCAAAAAAAAAATATATATATATATATATATAGATAGAGAGAGAGAGAGAGAGAGAGAGAGTTTATTTTTCTTGATTTTTCAGGTCCATTAAGTCATGGACTAATCTTATTGTAATAGTGCGATTATTATAACTATATAAGACACAAAGCGTAAACATCAAATACGATAATTTAAAGAAGCTAAAAAAATATATATGCAATAAATTTTCATAGGAGCAAAACATATTCCAAAAATTTATAAAATAAAAATGAATTTAAATATTCTAATAATTCACAAAATCTTATCCTACCTGTTGAAACATACACTAAAAAATTTGGTTAGTAAGATTTTATCTGGCATGTTCATTCATGGTCTCACTTTTAACTAGGGATAAAAAAAATTCCATATATTCATGAATAAAATATATTAAAGATAGAAGATGGATATTTTAAACATGTATATAAAATAAGAAAAATATAATAAAGGTTGTTGAGTTGTACTTTAATATTTATTTTGTAAAATATTTTTTAAAATATGAGTATTTGATATTACTTAATTTACAAAAGAGACTCCGTGAAGTTTTTAATAAATAGGTTAAAACATTAATAGTTTTTCAAATGCAAATATTCTTAAGGAACTATTGACTTTTAAAGGAATGACAGACATCGAAGACGATGATCCTCATAGACGATAAACACAATGTAGAAGTGAGAATGAAATAGAAAAATGGCTTGAGATAAGTTTGGGGAAAAGGGAAAATGATGAATGCTCTTCAAGAGATTTGTAGGTTTTGGTAGATGATTCACTGATATTTTTCGAATAACATTTTCCTTTTTGATCCACTATGCTTGTGTATTATTCGTTAGACTACAAAATTGTAAATTATTGTAAACTAACTCTTAAAACTCTATTAAATCACTTGGACCCACCAACTCTTAAAGTACTATTAAATCACGTTGACCTACAAAGTACAAAGTATTTTTAAAAGTTTATTAACCAGTTCAACCTAAGTTGAATCCATTTTGACTCACGGGCTAATTAATCAAATTTTAGTTTGAAGTTAGAAAAATGGGAGTAGGGGGAGGGGGCAAAAGGGAAAGGTTGCTAATGGGTAAATTTAGAATATTCAAATGTAAATAGAGGACATGAAGACAAAAAATAGATATATTACGTTCAAGGAAAAAAAAAAGAAAAAGAAAAAAAGGAGGAGTTAAAAGTGGAGGCTGAGTATGTGCTTCATGTGCAAGAATATTATATCCATACATATCTCTCATCTATGAATCTCCTAAAATATGTGCAAGAAAAAACATAAAAAATGTATTGTTGAAATGAAGTGATTATTCCCAGATTCCATTGTATATTGTTGTTATTGGCTCTGTCAACAAGCTCGTGGATCATCCACTTTCAGTTCCTCAGTTGTCCAGTGACTAATGGCTACAAGGTAAGTGTTGTATATAAGGGAAGTAATTGTTCGGATAGGTGAGAGTGAAATAATATTTTTTGTATCTTCACATTTTGTAAACTTTGTTCACAGAGTTTTACCTGTGCATGTAGGTTAGAAGGGATAGTTAATGCTGTAGTTGAACCACGTAAAATTCTTGTGCGTGTTTTGATTCTTTCATTCTTGTTTTCATTTGGGTTCTTGAGTTTCTTGGATGATTCAAGTGAACATGGACTACTTCCAAATCACATACAAAGTAGAAAAAGGAAAATGAATGGGCAAGGAGAGAAGCTACAAATGATGTATCTTGATAACCAATTACAGAAACCCCCAAAAATGAAACAGAATGATCATCCGATTGATATAGGAGCAGGAGTATCAGTTTGTCAGTAACAGGACATCAACATCTTCAAGAACAAAGCAGAGGACTAAATTTAGCCAGTAAAGGAATGGATTTGGACTTGATTGTCATAGAGGATATTTTAGCTATGGTAAAACATTTCAAGGTGAATAGGGTCTAAAACTGAAAGGAAAATCTCTCAACAGAGTATTCAAGTGTCCATATGTAATGACCTGAAAAAATTATTCCTTTAAGAAAGATATATGTTACATTTAATAAAAAAAGTAACCCGTTTCCTTGGAACAACATAGAAGGGCTTAGTTCCATCCGTAAATCTATGTTTACAATGTTGAAGAACTTATAACAATTACTATCAGGAAAAAGAAGGAAGACAAGAAAATGAAAGACACATGTTGAAGAACTTATAACAAATGCATAGTTGCATACACCAGGAACTCAAGAAATCACGAAGACCCTCAGCTCGTCTCTATCTCCTCTTGTGATGCGGGTATCTGAATCAAGATACGTAACTTCAAATTCACCACTTCCTGTATTGGAAGGAGGCCTCAAAGCATCCGGAATACGCGGCACATCTAATGGTGGCAACTGTGCTAAATTCCCAGTTGTCTTCACAGTGGTTTTCTCAAATTTTATCTTTATCTTTGAAGATCCTGTGACAATTAAAATTCTCATATCAAGACTGTACAATATTACAATACAACAATTCTCATAGCTAGCAATAGGAAGCAAGCAATCGTGTAAAACTTGTTAAACATACAGATAATAAACAAAGCATAAAACATAAAACAAACCTATAAGTTCAAATTTGTGAGCTAATGTGGCTGTTACTTCAAGGGGTGGTAGTGGCCATGGAGCACCCAACTGAAGCTCCACTATATTATCAAAATCCTTGCTTAAGATGTCAATTCGTTGAAAAACCTATGACCAGAAAAATGGATAAATGCTATAAATAATATGCATAACTAGTAATTGGAAAAAAACTCTGCCAGTCAAAATTGATACATTTCTTCCAGAAAGAAAAAAAAAAATAGAGCAATCAGCGCAAAAATGATAACATTTCAATGACAATTGACAATAAGAATAAGAGGAACACAGGCTTTTATTAGAACCCATAACTTGCTCCACCATTGTGCATAATTTTAACTTGAAAGGTTTCCTGTTCAATACGACTTGCAATGAAACCATAATAGTTAGTACCATGTGAGGTTGGTAACAGAACAAACCTGTCCAAGAGTTATGGGAAGGAGTCTTCCTATGGGAGGTCCAGGACGACTACCACCAAGAGTTCGAGATGAAAATGCACTACTATATATGAGTTTCCATCTTCCTTGCAATTTATCAATACCAACCGAGAGATCCACAAGTCCCCCAGCAGCCTCAAGTTCCTTAGCCGCATCATCAGCCTTTCGCAGATCATCTTCATTCGCAGCAAGACCTCTATTCAGCCCAGAAACAGCACTCTGCACTTATTTATTGCTCAACTCAAGCATAAGGAACAGAAGCACAACGAAAATCAGAATCAGAAGATGCTGTAAAAGGGCCCCACTCACCAGCAGATTGAACTTCAGAAAGGAGATGGAATCAGAAGTGTCCCCAGCGTAGCCGGAAGAAGATGGAGCAGGTTCAGTCACATCCACAGCAGATTTGACAAGAAACGAAGGCCTGCGTTGAGAAGGTTTTGGGGCGAGAAGAAGGGTGTTGCAGCGGGGCCTGTGAAGGGAAGGAGAGGAAAAAGATAAGGGTGGAGGGTGCGGAAGAAGGTTGAGGGAAGCCATGAAGAGGGTTGGGTTTGGGAACGGGAAAGTGTGAATTTTGGAAGAGATTTTTGGTGAAGGCGAGTATGTGATTGATATTTGAGTGAGACCGACAGGAGAAGCACAGAAGAACCCAGGATGAAATGGACAGACCCGAACGAACACGATCACGAGAAGAGATGTGACTTCGCCTTTTTCTATAGCGCCACGTAATGCTTTAACATGTGGTTTATTATAAACTAGGCCACGTGTCATGCATCGTACAGCTTTGAGAAAAAAAAAACAAAAACAAAAGAGCAGAAAAATGAGAAAGTAAAAGAGAGAATAATTCATATGAAAAACTTTTTATAATATTATTGATCATTACTAAATACTCGCATTCATCCTTTTGTGTAAAATTAGAATTTGTTAAGGTCAAATATATTTTCCTTCTCTCTTAAAAATAATTAAATTCTAAATTCTGTTTTACTTACATTTATGTTTCTTTAATTAAAAAATATTTTTTTCAATTTTCAAAATATTTTTGTAGAGCGTTATAATCGTTGTCACATATTAATTATAATTTATAACTATTTAAATTAAATACTCATACTTTAATTAAATACATGGTCATGGTGACATTTTTTGAAAATTTCCTGGTGATTCTTTTTATATAAAATAAATACATAAAATTGAAAATACATTTAAATTAATAAACATATTCAAAAAACTTGTAAATAAATTAAATAAATAACTTTTTCCCTTTAATTTTTTATTTATTTTTAGTCACTTTTAAAAACTTTAACAAATTTAAATATTTCATTTTTCATCCCTATTTTTAGTATTTCACGTGAAATTAAGTGTGTTAACAAAAATATCGTGCCAATTTTTTAATTTAAATTTTTATAAATATTTAATTCTTTAACTTTAGTCACAAACTTTTAAATTATACTTTTTATTCATTAATTTTTTTCTTACTTAAGTTATCTTAGAATAATATTTAATATTTTTTTTACATATGTCAATCCATTAATATAGTAAATAATATCAACGGTAAAAGTAAAAATATCAATCTAATTCACCAATATCTTGAATTTATCCTATTTATAATTCATTTAAATGATAATTTACTTGGTCCAAAATTTTGAAATATTATATTACCACCGTTGAATGTTAATTTTGTTGATATTTGTGAGATAAAAGTAAATAAAAAATATGTTAAAAATGTGAAAAAAATAATTAGGGACAAAAGATGAAATTTATATTTGAAGGAATTAAAATAGAAATTAATATTTTATAGGACTAAAACTAAGATGGAAATCTTACAGAGACTACAAATAAAAAATTTAAATTTTCTAAAAAAAGAAAAAAAATAATATGCAAAATATTGTGCTGTGTGACACATCTACAAGACTAGCATAAAAGAGTGTCATGTGTTTTCATGTGATACCACATGACACAATGAGATTGTCATGCGAAACTTACATGTGGTGTAGCTACATTATTTTACTACTATATGATGAGTTTTAGCTTCACACATCATTGTTCAGTGGAGACCAAAATTTTAAATTTTTTTAAGAGAAATTTAAAAATTAAAATATCTAATAAAGTAGTTAAGCCCAAAAGGGTTTACGGATCAACTTCGGGCCTTTCTTTTGAGGCCCATTGACAGTAATTTGTGTTCCACGATTTTCGTTACCCAAATACTTTTTAATATATTTTTTTAAAAACAAAATTTGATGGATTTCACAACTTATTTAATGACCCTTTTTTTTATAATTTTTAACAAATTTTAACGAATGAAAAAAATGTGTGAGAAAAGTGTGGCACTCTTTTGGAAATCAGTGGTCGGATAAAAGCCGAATTGATGTACTTTTTGTTAATGCTGATAGGACAATCATAAGAAGTGCGTGGTAAAAATAATACATTATTCTTTCGAAGCGACAAGTTTCAATAAAAAAAAAAAAAATGAACCAATAGTACACGCTCGACTTCAACATCGAATTAATAATAAGGTGTTGACATCACACAGAAGAGCGTGCCTGGATAAACTATCCAAATCTGGTGAAAGAAATAAAGTGCACAACTCACACTTTTAAATGTGGCACATGAGTAGATGGGGATATAAGAAATAATGATATAAATTTATAAATGTTTATTTATTTTCTCTTTTGTTTATTATCTCTATATATATAATATAATATATAATTTAAGTTAGAATACAAATTAAAAAATAAATATCATTAAATTATGAATATTTTACATAAAGTAGTTGTTTACTTAACCAGAATATGTAGATATATAAAGTTGTTTGTTAAAAAAAAAAAAATACTCACATTATATACAAACTTAACGAAATCCCATCTTTTTCTTGTTTGACATTAGTGATCACTCTTTCTTTTTATTCAATTTCACATAAATGACATTGAAGAGGGGAAGAACCCATGAGGCTTTAAAACTGCTATTGATTTATATTTTTCTATTTTAAGTTCTTTCACTTCCTTCTTATAGTTTGTTTAAGTCTAAGACACCAAGAACCAACTACACATCAAGTAGTTGTTTACTCCCCCACATCATCTAAGATCTTCTGTGAATAGAAAATATGCATGTGAAAAGACAGACTAACATTGTACAAATCTAGAAATGTTTCAGATTTTTCGTGTTTGATATTTAATGTGATCTCCTTTTTTCTTTTTCTTTTTTTTTATCCGTCCAATTTCACGTGAATCACACATCAAAGAGGCCAAGAACCGTGAAACTTCAAAATTATCGTTACTGTATGTTTTTCTGTTTCAAGTACTCACACTTTCTTATAATGTTTTGTTCAAGCCCAAGAACACGAAGAAACAACTACACATCGAGTGCTTGTTTACTTTTCCAGAACCTCTAGATCTTTCTTGGAACCACCGTCTTACAACCTTTTTTAGGTAAATTTTCATAAGGCTAGAGAACATGTACTATTATTTCAATGTGTTTGGTGTTCTTAAGTGGTTTTTGTAGGAACCATACTTTTATGAAGTTTAATGTGAAAATAACCTCCCATGACAATAGATCAATTATGTCTGTCTGTCATAAAAAAAAAAAAATTAGCATATGATAATTGATTATTTGACTATCATGATCAATTTTCCAACCACTATATATGTAATATACCATTACAATATGTATTTAAATTGTATTAAAATCTTTAAATAATCAAGATTTCAATTTATATGTGGTTTATAGTAAAAAATTGTGAATATTAATAGAAAATACAAGAAAAATATTGTCGATGAAAAGTGTAGTTTTTATTTTATTAAATCATTTGTGTACAGAAAGAAAATATTATTATGATATAACATATGAAAAAAAAATAGAAATAGTAGAATGAAAATCGGATAATAATGGTACATGCTTTACTAGGAATTTTATGTTGGAAAATTAATAATAATAATAATAATAATAATAATAATAATAATAATAATAATAATATTCTTGATTTTGATTCTAACGATCAAACATAAACGTAATCTCATACTGATAAACATGCTTGTAAACTGAATGCGAAAGTGTACCTGAATTAGGCATAACAATGATGTCTTTGTAGAGCACTATATTGATCTTATGGTCTTCCACTTGAAGATCACCTGTATTTTCTTCTTGATTTTCTTTTTTTATGGGGATAGAAAGAAAAGAACGGGACTAATACTTACGTTTTGTGTGTGTGCTCCCAAAAGGGACCACGACCCCTTAAAATAACCGGAATTAGGTTAATTACTTAAGTTTTAGTATTTCCAATTTGACCCCTCATCAAATTAGAAATTGTTCAATGGTCTCTACACAATTTTATTTTCATGACATATGCCTTTAGCCCAAACTTTAATTTAGTCAGATCACTTTATTATTTGGCTTAATAAATAATGACTCTAACACATTTAAATTATGTATCATATATATACATGACCCAAATTTTCTCAACATTTTAGTCTTGAAGATGTTGTCAGAGAAAATATATTTTTTATTAAATTAAATCATTTGTATCAAGAAAGAACCTATTATTATAGGAGAGAAAAAAAAAAGGTGAATTTAAAAATAAAAAATGGATAATAACGATATAATACATGTGGGACTTAACCTACTATGTGAGTTAATATTGTACTTTGTTCATATGGAGTGTTGTCCTAATATAATTAATACATCTGGGACCTAAATATTTATTCAATTATGTTAATGCTTAAGAGCAATTAAAGGGACCTAACCGAAAGCCATTCAAAAATTGTTTCTAATATCATTATCAAATCAATTCATATTTAATATTACTTAAAATAAGAAATCTTTTAACAAATATTAAATAATCATTATTTTATATTATTTTTAGATGTAAGAATAAGTCATGAATAGAATTAGATTTTACCTATGATTGAAGAGAAATATTGTATAAATCATTAAGTATATTTTTATTTATTTTTTATTTTAATATAAATTTTCATTAAGATTATTATATAAAATTTGATAAATAGGTGAGAGGTTTTGAGGACTCCAGATAAAAAACCTTGCAGATTGATAAATATTATATAAAGAATTAAAAAACATAAAATACATTTTATAATTTTATTCATATATTTTTTGGATATAAATATTATATTCTTATATTATTTTACTCATATGAATCAGGACTAAATAAAATAAGTTCTTATTATATAGTTATACAAACTTATAATTTAACTAATCAAATATCTTCATCTCAATCCTTCTTCTCAAGTTGGTATATGGATGTCATACATTCCCAACTTGTCCAATAATATCCCAAAAATTTGATTTGTCACAGCTTTGATAAAAATGTTTGTCAGCTGATCTTCAGATTGAATATTTGACAATTCTAGAATATTTTTATCAAGTTTTTTCTTGATGAAAAATCTATCAACTTACATATGCTTAATCTGATCATGTTGGATAGGTTTGTGAGCAATGTCGTGCGTAACTTTATTATCACAATACAACTGAATGGGATATGTATGTGCATACCCTAAATCCTGGAAAAGTAGTCTAAGTCACAAACCTTCACAAAGTCCAAGAATCATTCCTCTAAGTTCAGCTTCTGCATTGGATCTAGCTATAATTTTCTGCTTCTTGTTTTTCCATGTAACAAGATTACCTTCTACAAATGTAAAGTATCCAGAGGTTGATCTTCTATCATCAAGAACACATGCCCAATCTGCATGTAGTATAAACCATCACATCCTTGTAGTTGGAGTTCTTCTTGAACATAACTCATTTTCTAGGAGCAACTTTTATGT